ATTACAGGTGTGAACCACCTTGCCCACCCCAGGGAAGGCATCTTTTATCACTGTAAGAGAGAGTAGAAAAGGAACTCCAGGTGGAATTGACAGCCAAAGCAAAGCAACAGAGGTGCATGATGGGGAAATTACAAGTTCCTCTGTAGATATAGAGAGTTGTGAGATGTGGTCAGGACTAAATTGTAAAGAATCCTGTATCTCCTTGTGCATTATCTTAAAACACTTGTTCAGTGGTTCTACAACACCTGAGACATGTCTGACCCAAGCTAAATTCAACATACCACAATTTGCTTTTGAATTACTTCTGACAATTAAAGAACTCCACAGACTGGCTTCTACTGCCACCCGACAGGCTAGTGGTGTGTCTTCTGACTGCCCTGGCACATAGGCCTATCACTTCATTGAATGTGATATACTGAAGGAATATAAATTTACTTGAGCCCAAATTTCAGAAAACTTTAACCTGCAAGCAACATTTACTATAAAATCTAAAAGTTAATGCATTCTTTTTTTTTTTTAAACAGTCTTGCTGTGTTGCCCAGGCAGGAGTGCAGTAGTACAATCTCGGTTCACTGCAATCTCTGCCTCCCGGTTCAAGCAATTCTCATGCCACAGCCTCCCGGGTAGCTGGGATTACAGGTATGCTCCACGATGCCTGGTTAATTTTTGTATTTTTTGTAGAGACAGGGTTTTGCCGTGTTGTCTAGGCAGGTCTCAAATTCCTGACCTCAGGTGATCAGCCTGCCTTGGCCTCCCAAAGTGCTGGGATTATAGGTATGAGCCACTGCGCCCAGCCTAAAAGTTAGTGCATTCTTAATGAGCACACATGTAATGAATTTTTAATTTCTCATTATTCTAGATATTCTTGTTTTTTGCACCAGCACAAGTTGGATAAGCTATGGAATGCAATATAGAAATTTCAGTGTTCTATGGGTGCATTGCCCAATACAGTAGCTAGTAGCTACATGTGGCTACTTACAGTTAAATTCAATAAAATTAAATAAAAGGAAAAATTCAGTTCTTCTGCCATGCTTGCCAGATTTCAAGTGCTTACTAGTTGTATGAGACTAGTGGCTACAAAATTGGATACAAAATATGGAAGATTTTCATCATGAAATGTTCTATTAGAGGGCACTGTTCTATGGTGACACAAAGCTTACTTTTAAACTTGAAAAATTTTCAATTTATATAGAGTAAAATTAACATTTTCATGTATATACAGTATGCGACAAGCATAATAAATAACCACCATGACAAGTACGGTACAGGCAGTTCCATCAGCTCCCCGAATTCCCCAGTGCTACTCCTTTAGAGGCAAACTCTATCCTCACCCCAAGCAACCACTAATCTATTCTCTGTTCCTATAGTTTTACCTTTTCAAGAGCTTTGTATAAATGGAATCACGTAATATGTAACTATTTGAGACTGGCATTATTTTATGCAGCAAATGCCTTTAAGATTCTTCCAGTTTGTTTCTTTATTGCTGAATAATATTCCAAATTCACTCACTGAAGGATGTGTTTGTTTTTCCCAGTTTTGGAAATTTAGGAATAAAGATGCTAAAACATTCATGACCAAGTGTCTGTGTGAGGATAGGCTTTCATTTTTCTAGGATAAATATCTGGGGATGGGGTTTTTGGGTCATAATGTAAGTCCATGTTTAATTAATATAAGAAAGTTCCAAATAGTTTTCCAGACTGGCTGTACTATTTTGCATACCCAGTGGCAATGCATGGGAGTTCCAGTAGCTCTGCATGTTTGTCAAAACTTGGTGTTGTCAATTTTTATTTTTGCCATTCTAATGTGTGACTAGTGGAATTTTATCGTGGACCTAGTTTGCTATTCGTTAATAGCTAATGATGTTTAGCTTCTTTTCATATGATTATTTGCCATACTTATATCTTCTTTGGAGAGTTGCCACTTTTTCCCATTTAAAAATTAGGTTTTTTTTTTTCATTTGGGAGGCTAAGGTGCAAGGATTACTTGAGCCCAGGAGCTTGAGATCAGCCTGGGCAACTTACGTGACCTCATCTCTACAAAAAAAAAGAAAAAAAAAATTAGCTGTGTGTGGTGGTATGAGCCTATAGTCCTATAGCCTCAGTTTCTTGGGAGGCAAAAGCAGGCGAATCTCTTGTGCCTAGAAGTTTGAGGCTGTAGTGAGTTATATACATTTATACATATATAAACCTAAAAGTTATTTTTTTGTTTATTTACTATTGAATTTTTGAGAGTTCTTTATATATTATGATTATAAGTTGTCAGATATGTGATTTGCAAATATTTATCTCAGTCTGTAGCTTGCTTTTCATTCTTTTTCACAGAGCAAAAGCTTTAAATTTTGGTGGTTCTCATTGTGATTGCTTTAAAGTAAGTCTTAAAATTGTATAATACGATTTCTACAAGTTTATTTTTTCAACATTTTGGACCTTAATTTTAAGTTTGTTTGCTTTTCCATATAAATTTTAGAGTCAGAGTCAGTGTTACTATGTGTACAAAAGATTGTTAACCGGGATGGAGGTTGAAATTTAGTTAAATCCTTAAATCATCTTGTGGGAAAATTAACATCTTAATATTGTTAAATCTTCCAGTCCATGGATGCAGTCTACCTCTCCATTTACTTAGGTCTTTGCTTTCATCAGTCTTTTGTAATTTTTATCATACAGATTCTGCACATATTTTAAAGTGTATACATAATTATGTCTTGTTTTTGGTTTTTTTTGAGACAGGATTTTGCTCTGTCACCCAGGCTGAAGTGCAGTGATGCCATTATGGCTCACTGCAGCTTCAACCTCCCAGGCTCAAGGATTCTCCCATTTCTGCCTCCAGAGTAGCTGAAACTGCCGGCACATGCCACCATACCTGGCTAATGTTTAAATTTTTTGTAGAGACAGGGTCTCCCTATGTTGCCCAGTCAGGTCTCAAACTCCCGGACTCAAGAGATCTTCCTGCCTTTGCCTCTGGATGTGCTGGGATTATAGGTGTGAACCACCATGCCCAGCCTATGTAATTTTTAAATTGTATTATTTTTAAAAATTTTGATTTCCAATTGTTGATTGGTAATGTATAGATAAATGATTAATTTTTAAATGTTGACCTTATATCCCATGATGTTGATAAACTCATGTATTAATTCTGGGTGCTTTTTTGTGGATTTCTTGCAAATTTCTACATAGATATCTTATATGTGAATGAATAGAGCCTTCTTTCTCATGTCAGGATTTTGGTAACAATCTACTGAGAGATCAGATAAAATTTCAAATCATGTAAAACCAAACTGGATATGCTGGTCCTCTTCTTTTTTCATTTGTTTCTTCCTGATTTAAACTCCTTTTAGATTATCTGCATGCTTTCCCTCCCATGACCCCAGTATTAAGGACTATTGTATAAATATTCTCCCAGTGAAATGGACTTATGGCAAAAGTAGTTTCGGTGACTCAGTCCTTGTGAAACATTAACTATTCTAAAATCAAAATTGACTTTTCTAGCTATTCTGAAGAGTATACATCAACTTCATACCCAGGAACTCCCTTGAAGAAGTTATTTTATGTAGTCAGTCACTTGGGGATAAATGTTGCACCTTTAGTACTAGCAATGGTGGAATGAAACTGGAAGCAGGCAACTCTGGTACGGAGGCCTCCTGAGGGTCTTCAGATGTTAGAATGGAGAGCATCAGTCCCAGCTATGAGACAGCCTGGGAAGCCAAGGAAGAAGGGAGTTGACATTTCTGTCCCTTCTAAAGGCCCCAGGAACCAAACCACAGTTAGTATCTTCCAGACATTGAGGTTCCATCATTTGTTTATAGGAAAACGGTCCTCCCACCACTGGCTGATCCCTCAAGGATCAGCTTAACCCACACAAATGACAGGCTGAAGTTAACCATACTGCTCTAATTGAGGACTGTCAAAAATACCAGCATGCCGGGGGTGGCAGGACATGGGCGTTTTGCAAGTCAGAGTTGCTGGCTCTTATGTGATGCACTTGATTGGCTGGGTCCAGAACTGTCCTAGGGAGTAAGAATAAAGGTGAGGGAAATATTCCTCTAGGACTGCCTTAGCTTACACGCTGTATGTCATGAATCCAGCAACATAACAGGAAGCAGCATAGATGCTCAGAGCCAAAAATAAAGACTGGGTTCCATGTCTGGAAGTCCTGAAGACAAGACAAAGACAGTCTTTTAATTAGGACTGGCCAGCCATAATAAATCTATGGAGCCAGAACTAGATGCCCCCTGGCATGCCCCACAACACTTGTACAGTGGTGTCAGCAGCTAAAAATTCATACCATTGGAGTGAACAGCAAAAAAGTCAGCCAACATGAAATCCACTAGGCTAGGTCCCTAGGGACAGGTTGCCTTGCCTCAAGTGATCCACCTGCCTCGGCCTCCCAAAGTGCTGGGATTACAGGCACGAGCCACAGTGCCTGACCAATCAGCTTTGTTAATTGCTCAAATTGAGGCAACTGGGGCTCAGGGAGAGCATGCGTGTTTTCACTTATTCAAGACAATCTGAAACTCTAGAACCAGAAAGAAGAGACATGGTTGGGCATGAAAAGAGCCAATGGCCCTCAGGGGGTATGTCGGAGAGCCCAGGAAAGGAGGAGTTTCTGTTTTAGGTTTTCAGACAGAATGACCCCCAATCTACTTGTGTGCTAATGTGACCAATAGGTCATTCTCTCTAAATGGGAGGGTCGCCTCCCAGGTGGGCATTTCCTCCTTAGTAACTGAGAAAGCCAAAGAGTTGGAGGAAGCTCCTGCTTTGTGAGTTGAGGCAGGAACGTGGGAAGCAAAGAAGGACTCCCCACATAGAATTCTTTTCTGTGACTGTATGAACACATACAGGCATTTTAAACAAAAACAGCATTTTAAACAAAAACACTGTACACCGTGTTTCACAGCCATTTTGGGATCATGCTGTGCATACTTTTTCATAACGCCTTTTCAGTTACCATATCAACACTTTTCACATTAAATTATTTAGGACATAATTTTAAATGACGACATACTGCTTGTTGGTACATAATGTATTTAGCTCATTCATGTTTCACTTCTATGAATACACTTGAACTTCTTTTAAGTGGTTAAGACTGCCCAGGCAGCCCTGATTATCACCTAAAGGCAAATTATTAACAATGGAGTCATTGGTTCACATGGTATGTATTGAAATGCCCTCCTGGAAAGGGGCGCCAGATTATATGTAGCTTGAGGAACTAAGATAACTGTGGCATAAACCACAAAACAACGACTTAACAGATGCACTATGTATTTTTCTGGCTTCTCTGAAGCCCTGATGACTGCTGATGTCTGGGGCCCATGGTTTCAAAGGCTCCAGCACTAATGTTGAGAGTTTTGCTCTCCCCAGCAGCTGACAACCTAGAGGTTGTCAGGAGGACTGACCCCTTCCATGGCTCGATGCACTGAACTCCTGGCGCGCCCTATGGGCACTGCTGCTAGCAAAGTGCTGTGGGCAGAACCTCTGCCGTCTTCAGGATTTGGATTTGCTAATGAGGTTAGATGCAGGCTCATTGGCTGTGGGCTCAACTGGGGAAGGCTATGGTGCAGAAAAACATCTTCCTGCTTGTGACACTGATTCCCAAAGCTCCCGGTCTTGAGTTGTGGGGATTAGTCATCCTTGAGTGCTTTTGCCATCTTTACCAAAAATCCAGGTGTTTCCATTTTTATTTTTTGTTATCTCCAGCCTCAGGACCCCAGGGGGAGGAGCTACTTGGATTTATCTACACAATCCCTTCCGCCCAAGAAAAGCAGAAAAGTAGTGGCCTTTAACGAGGGTGGATTCTGAACACTGGTACCAGTTAAATACTCTCTAGAAATCAAAAGCTCAGTTGTTCCAGGAGACTTTGTATCTTTTTGCCCTTCACCTCTTTCTTTCCCAACTTAAACATGACTCCAAAAAGCACTGTGTAAGTCATGAAGCAGAAGACAGTCAGATTGCCAAGGTTAATATTTGTGTTTGAAAGCATGGCCTCTGTCAAAAGGGCAGTAGCCCTCCAGCTGCCGCCAAGATTTCTCTTAGCTAGTATGTTGGCCGAATAGTCCTGTTCTTCATTCTTTTTTTTTTTTTTAACCTAGTGGGAGGAAGCTGCGTGTTATCACCAAAGAGACCAAACTGAGCATGAGGAGGCTGTGACAGCGGTGGGGTCAGTCTGCTGGGTCCTGCTCACCATCCTCAGCTGCCCCCCTACAACCTCAAGCTGAGCTAGGACAAGCCAGTAGGTTTGGGGAAACAGTGGAACTGATGGGGTTGGCTCAGTGAACAAGCATCCAGTGTTCCATTCACTCTGATTCCAGTGCCAGGGGCCATTCTCCAGAGACACTGGCGGCTCTGTTCTACAGGGTACTAGCCTTGCATCACTCAGCCGGGAAAAGGTGAGTGCTAGACCTCCCTCCCTCCCTCCCACAGTGCAGACTCGCCAGGGAGCAAGGCTGGAGTCATGGCACTGTATACACCCAAAGGTGTCCAACTCAGGGAGACAAATTGATTATCCCCCAGTCCCCTGTGGAGGTCAGGAATGCTTAGACTGGCTCCAGGAGGGATGGAGGCGCTGCGGTGTTCACCCTTCATTGCTTTGTGAGCTGGTTTCAGGGGTCTGGCACTTGGATGCGGTCCTGCCAGTCACTGGTGAACTCCAGCACCCAAAGGCCTTACAGTTAAGATAATGCATCTGACTTGGAGAAAAAAAGCAGCTAACAAAATTCCCTACCTTCTGATAACTGCTATTTTAAAAAGTCAGTATGCATACAAATCAGGACTAAACAGAAGTAACAATAACTGGGTCAGGGTAGATGGACTGAGAACGATGATTTTTAATTCTGTTTTCTTCATCACCTACACTGTGGTTACATTGTCCTTACAATTTTTTTCTAAAGGAAACACCAGTTTTAAGAGGTAGAATCAGGGAGGTTGATGTTTCTAGGCATCCAGTGTAGTGAATGTGTGTAAATGTGCATGACCCTAGGGAGGTGGGGGAGGGAGCTTTTTAACTGGACTTGCTCACCTGTGTGAGGTGGGATTTCCTTACAGAGATCTGAGCTTAGCAGAATCCAGGGGGACTGTGGGCCTTTGCTGTACTTCAAGCCAGAGAAACCTTGGAGACCACTGGGGCCAATTTGTGGGCCTGCTGTGGCCATGAATCACGTCAGCTGCTGAGACAGCTCAGTGTGGAGTGAGCACGCGACCCACGCAGATGGAGAGGCACTAGCACCATGGGCAAGAGGAAAGGCATGTTGGGAATACAAGGACCTTGGGGGACACAAAGAAGGCAAAGGATGCTGGAGAACTTGGCCTCAGGGAACTTCCACCTCACACTTCATATTGACCCCATGGGCTAATCTCACATTTCTTCCCAGGAGATAGGATGTTATTGAGTGAGGGCAGGAGATCTTTGAGAGAATAAAGAGAGCATTCCCGAAAACCTCTCCTGGGTACAGATATCTTTATAGGAAGCTCTTTCTGTTAAATCCTGAGAATCTCTGATTTTAGCTCTCCCTTTCCCATGAAGATGAAGCCTCTCTCGCCCACCTCTTCCCTCCCAACTTTCCATCCCATTATGTAGACATCCTCCCTCTGCCTTGCCTCCATCTACTTAATTACTTGCATGCTTTTACCAGGATCTAAAACTTGGGCTTGGGAATCCAGTCCAGGCAGGCGTGTGTGTGTGAGAAAGAGAGAAAGAGAGAATATAGATATTCTGTAATCTTGAGGTCATCCCTAAGACTGTCCCTTAGAGTTTGCAGGTCAAGATCAAGGGTACTTCCAGGGCATCTAGAGGTCATGCTTCTCCCCATACCAGGATGAGAATCCTATTGGTGTCACACAATCAAAAAGTCCACTAAATACTAGAAAAGAGAATACTCTGCTCTCTAAAAAGTGAAAGAAAGATGGAATAGGTCTGGAAGGAGCAACTGAGAAAGGGGAGGAGGTAGGATAGCCACAAGCAGAGGGGCTACCAGTGAGAGCCTTTCTCGGTGGGGAGTGACAGGAAGTGCACAGAAGCCTGGTGGACTGGGAGGACCCACAGAGAGGCTTGCCTGGCCCAAGTGATGACCTTGGAAACGGGCTGCCCAGTTAGGCTTGGGAATCCTCCCAAGTCCTGGATTCTGCAGAAATAGACTCCACTTGTTGGGGTTTCTAATGTCTTTTTTTCTATAGTCAGGCCATAACCGTCTCCTGGGAGACCTGCAGCCAATGCTTGGCAAATGGGAGTTGCAGAAGAGAGAAGGGGGTGCCATGCTGTAGGGAGGGGGAGCGCAATTCCCTGAGTCCCAAGGGGGAGCTCCCCATCACAGAACATGGGAGGGCCACCTTAACATCCAGAGCACTTTCCTACTGAGGAAAGCAGGAACCACAGTGCATGGTTCCATGCGGCCACCTCGAAGCAGTGGAACAGCAGCTCACATGGAGAAACGCATAGAAAGGAAGTGGGTGGGTCTTACTCCTCCTGCCTCTGTCTGGGTGTGGGGAGTCTCCCTGCCTTTTGGATTTGGAAACTTTCACATGGGTGAGAACTGAACTCAGCATTGTCTTTAGAGCCAAAAACCAAGTACCTGGAGAATGAGACCTAGTAAGGCCATTTTCCAAGAGCCAAGCTGTGCCTCCCTCAGGCGCTGCTGAGCCTCTGCTCTCCCTGAGTGCTGGGGAGCCTGGCGGAGGTTTCCGGCCCCTAGACTTAGCTGATACTGGCCTCCTGCCGGACCTCATTTAACACCTTCTGTGGGCGGAGAGAACTGTAGGAGGAATTTTCATTTTGCCCACTCACACAGAAATGAATGCCACCGAGCAGGGCTCTGCCTGAGGTCAGAGAGGCTGCTGAAGGGACATTTTCCTCCACTGGCCGGGCTTCTCAGAGCCTTCTGCATCTGAGCCATATTGCAGGTTTCCCTCAGGAGAAGGCTCCGTTCCCAGAGGCTCAGTCGGTAGAGTGAATGAGTGGATTTTTTCCTCTATCTCTGCCAGCCACCATCTCTAGTTTCTCCTGTCCTGGCTCACAGTGGGTTTTTGGAAGGAGGGAGGAGTGACCGGAGCTGAATGGGCACCCACCCTCTACATGCCCCCATCTGGAGGCGCCCTTCTGGGCATGTGTGACCCCCTCCTTGGCCCAATCCAGAAGGGGGGGTGTGATTTCATTGAATGAGGCGTTCCAATGCCCTTTGCAACCTTTTGTGTCTCCTGTAAAATCTCCAAATGTGCTAGCAGAGAAAACCTGAGCCCAGTGTTTTCATCTGAGGGCTGGGAGTTCTGCTCATTTCTCAGGCTGGGATTGTCTCTGATTAGCTGGTGAGGTGAATGTGCCCTGTCATCCCTGGTCCAGCTGGGCAACCTGGCAGGTCATGCCTGTGCCTTATGCAACTTTGGCTGTCGAGTAGCTCCAGGCGCCTAAGGCTGAGGACCAGAGTGGCCTCCTGTGCCCCGAGGCCTGTCATGGTCTCTGCTAATGCTGTCCCCATCAGATTTCAGAGCCTCTGACCACAAACCAAAGCTCTCCCATAGCTCATCTTAATACACATGGCAGACAGAACTGAGCTGTTCTATTCCATGAAAGAAACATCATGGAAATAGCTAAAAGTCAAAACAAACACAAAAACAAACAACCCACTCAGACCTGCAATATGTGCCCTGATGGAAAAACAAACTCTATCTGGCTTTTTGGGCAGAGAAGACTTGGGAAGGCCAGCCCACATGTGTGGTGCCAGAAAACTGGCTGAGCAGCGCAATTGACTGCTAAAATGGCCACACAGTCTTCCTAGCCTTGCATGTGACTTTGCAGCTCGTCTCATCAAGGGGTGGAGTCTAGTTCCTTGCCTGCTATACCCGGGCTGGCCTGTGACTTGCTTTGACTAATAGAATGTGGCAGAAGTGAGCGTGTGCCAGTTCTGAGCTTAGGCTTTAAGGGATGTTGCACACTTTCTCTCACTCTCTTGTGACCACAAAGTGAGCCACCAGCGCAGGCTAGCATGCGGGAGGAGGAACACATGCTAGTCATCCTGCTGCACTGACAGCCATCCAACTCCCAGATGTGTGATTGTGGCCGTGCAAGAACAGCCAGCCGCCAGCTGTTCCTCCGTTTCATCACAGATGCATGAGAGAGCCTGGCCAAGCCAGCTAAGATGAGAAGAACCAACCAACTCATGTACAGAGTTTTGAGAAATGATAAAAGTTGGTCGTGTTAAGTTGCTAGGGTTTGGGATGGTTTAACACCATAGAATTACTCTGAGGATCAAACCAGATAAGGCCACATTACCAGTCCACAAGAAATGTTAATTGAATCCTATTACAGAGTTACATAACTGGAAGAGACCACAGAGGACATAAAAAATATGCCCCACTTTGTCAAGCTCACGTTATCTCATTTAGTCCCCAGAACTTCCTTGAAATATTGTGACTGCTTTACCCTCATGTTACAGAAGAGGACTGAATCTAAGAAATTAACTTGCCAAGGGTTGTGCCTAGTGAGTGGTAGAGCTAGATGTGAATTCAGCTCTGTGTGATTCTAAAGGCCAAGTTCTTAACTATTAGGATAAAAACATTGGTTCATACATTTAAAAACCATATTGGTGGCATACTCGCCCAAATAGGTAAAAGAAATTGGAGAAGAAATATGAAAGTATTCTTTTTCTAGAGGACTAGGAAATGTTAGCATGCTTATTCTCTGGTACCACGACGACATTTGCTGACATGACACAAGTCCTACCTCTAGCAGAACTCTCTATGCTCTTTCTGGGTGATCTGCTTGAGAAATGAATTTTGCTTTCAATGTGGTTGATAGCTAGGCTGACTTTAGAACTGAGAGCTCCTGTTTACTCATTCCCCAAGCTGTGGGCTTGCATATTTGCTAGAACTCACTGAGGAAAACTCAGCACATAATATAAATATAAATATAAATATAAATAAAGAGGAAAGTATTTGTAGTCACAATACTTGAATTTAAGCCCCAACTACTTCCTGGGCAACTCAATCTCTCTGTGCTCCATTTTTCTTACTTCCAAAATGAGGATTGAACTAATGAGATAATGAAAGCTGAGGTGCCATGACAATATAATGTATTGTTATCATTATAAGAGTGAAATCATTACTGAATTTGATTTCAATGGCAAATTTGAACTGTTTCAGATTAAGCAAAATGACATGTATTTGACCTTCTGCAGAAGCAAAAGGCTTTGTAGTAGCTTATTATATATTTCAAAATCAATAAAAGAATGGAATTAGAAGGCTTATAACCCTAAAAAATGATGAATATTTAAGGTGATGGATTACCTAATTACCCTGATTTGATAATTACACATTTTATGCTTGTATCAAAATATCAACTGCTCCTCATAGATACGCACGTCTGTTATATATCCATAAAAGTAAAAAAAACAGAAACCCAATCAGTAGTGGTTGAAACAAATAGGCCGTGATTTTCTTACTTGATAAAACATCTGAAGGTAGGAGGTTGCTGGCATTGGTTCAGTTTTGCAATGATGCCTGCAGGCCCACTCTGTCATCCTTGACATATTGGCTGTTCTCCTCTTGCTAGGTTGGCTGTCTCATGGTCCCAATATAGCAGCTGAAGCTTATGTCAAGGAAGAAAGACGGGAGAATCTAGAATCTCCCCAGAGGTTTATTTGTGTTTGTTCCTGTTTTTCCCTGTTGAGGTCTCATTAGCTAGAAATGTGGCATATGCCCACCTAACCTGCAAGGGAGGCTGGATAGTATTGGCCTTTTTCAGACTCTATAGTAGAGACAGCGAGGTGAGAAAATTGGAGTATTTACGGGTTGTTTGTTCTTGTTTTACTTTGTGCTTGCTTGTGCTCCCTGACATATTTGTGTAACAGATATATTTTGTGTTTCTATAAGAAAAAAATGTACTCAAGACTGCTATTAATATTTTTAAAGGAATCAAGCAAAAGACTTCAACCTACTGTTTTCATAATCAGCATGAGCTGGGACTACTTGGTGGCATACATAATCCCTCGCTATTGCTTGCCTCCTTTCATCATCTAAATCAAGCAGAATATAAGTGCTCAACACTTATGAAAGGTTGACACACTGTCACTTGTTATGTTTGGGGGAAGAAAGGTCATGCCCACTTGAGTTATTCTGTATCATAGCCTATGCAGATCCCTTTTTGGATGATTGGTGTCTATAAAAAAAATCACATATAAGGCAAGAACAAAGCCCTCAGACACATAGTAACTCAGTTCAAAACCAGTAATGGCCAAATGTCAAACTTTGGTAAGGATGAGGTGTGAAGGAAAAGTTTATAATCAAAATTCTGTTCTCTGAGACTGGGGAAAATATCACCAGCTGTTATTAACAAAGTGGCTGCTAAGCAAATAAGGAAGGTGAAAAACGATGGTTCCAGGAGATGTTGCTATCTGCAACATGTTACAGATTAGCTGGCACTGTCCTCACCATCTCAGGGAGAGGGTAAAATTGTGGCTTGATTTAGAGCTGATGATAGCATGTGTCTAGTCACTGGAGATCAAAAGAAAACTCGCCTGTAAAACATTGCTCATGAAATGGGAGCAAAGGCCAGGCTCTTCTCTTGGGTGTCTCAAGGGAAGTTTTGCTGTGTACTAGGCCAATGGGATTCAAGTCACAGTACAGGCTCCAGGATGTGGCCGTGACCGTATGACCTCATGTTCAACTCTGCCAGCCCTGAACTATTCAGATTTACCAATTGTGTATGATCAGTCCCTTTAATAGCTGATGATTTGGTGGCCAAATGACTCTTTTCCTTTCCTGTGATGTATGAGTAGAGACCACAGGTATTTTGTTTTGTGCTTAGAAAGTGGCTATTGCAAGTATGTATATGTGTGTATGAGTGTGTGCATTTGTTTGTGCATGTGTGTTTGTGTGTATGTGTATTGGTGATGCTGATAGTGAGGAGTATGGATAAGCAGTTGAATTTCAAATTCTTATCTGTAAGACCAGATTTGGAACAGCTCATCTGTGATGACTGCTTATCTTTTTCCTGAGATTAGAAAACAATACTTGGAGGGCAAACTACATCTTCCTTGGATATCTTCAAGGAATGCTGAAGGCATTGTAAATTCAAGCAAGTCCAAGAAATGAATGTCACATTCTTTGCAATGAGGAATTAGTGTGAAAGATGTAAAAACATCTTTAGCATGAAACCCTACTGAAAGAAAATCCTTGCAACCTACTGTATTTTGGAGCTCAGAAGAACTTCATCATGGTAGGACTTATTATCCTGTGTGTCAGAGGCATTTGAACCAGAGCAACTCCATCTTGAACAGGTACTGGTAAAATAAGACTGAGATCTACTGGGCTGCATTCCCAGGAGATCAGGCATTCTAAGTCACAGGATGGGCTAGGAGGTTGGCAAAAGGTACAGGTCACAAAGACTTTGCAGATAAAAGGATGTGGTAAAGAAGCTGTCCACAGTCCACTAAAACCAAGATGGTGAGGAAAGTGACATCTGGTCTTCCTCACTGCTCGTATATGCTAATTATAATACGTTACCATGCTAAAAAGACACTCCCACCAGCACCATGACAGTTTACAAATGTCATGGCAAGGTCAGAAAGTTACCCTATGTGGTCTAAAAAGGCGAGAAACCCTCAGTTCCAGGAATTGCCTATTCTTTTCTCAGAAAACTCCTGAAAAATACATTCTTGTTTAGCTTATAATCAAGAAATAACTATAAAAATAGCCAACCATTAGCCCTTGGGGCTGCTCTGCCTGTAGGGTAGCCATTCTTTTATTCTTTTACTTTCTTAATAAACTTGCTCTTTCTTTATGGATTTGCCTAGAATTCTTCCTTGCACAAGATCCAAGAACCTTCTCTTGGAGTCTTTTCTGGTAATATAAGGACAAATGCTTTCTTAAATGCAGTAGAAGCCATCAGCTTTGCTCAACCCCCTTCTGTTAGTTCCATGTGTACTAAGTTCTCACTGAATTCCTATTTATAACACGACAGAGGTGCTGAAGAGCTGTTAGAGCCACACTCAGAGCTTAACTGGAGCACTCACATTTCCTTTCCTTCTGGCCTCTGGTTACTGAAAACATTTGCTGAAAATTGCTGTCCCACTCAAGAACTGTCAAAGGTAATTGCGTTGCACAAAAGTTACCAAGAAGCATGAAATAATATGGTTAGCACCTGGTGACCAAGTTAATAGAACCTGTCTGATGAATCACCAAGCCTGCCACATATGAATCCCCTGGTTTCTGTCTGAAAACCAGGACAGCATAAATAGGTGAGGAAGACATGGATCAGGGGCCTCTTGGTGGCAATTTACCATACAAATTCCCATGTAAAGGGCAATTGTCAGGTCACCAAATGCAGTGAGGTCTGAGATTTGGGGGTGGCAGCAAGGGGGAAGATGTCGGCGGAGAATAAAGTGCTTTGGGAATGAGGACCTGTGTGAAGCAAGTACTGCTTACTTCAAAGAGCAAGGTCAAGACTTGGCTGCTCTCACAGCTGGCAATGACCTTGGCATCTAAGAAAATGAAAAGCAGAGACTCAAAAGATGGGAGGGACTTAGAGAGTCTGTCTGGGTCTCCCTACCTCATTGCCTCTGGCCAAAACTGTGCCCTTCCAAGTGAGCCAGAATATTCCTGTTAAAATTCTCCAGAGAAGGAAATCCTCCTCATTCCTGGAAGCCGTTTTCAGGGTCGCAAACCCCACTTGAGATGGTTTTGCTTTAACTTGAGGTTACAAAACCCCAAGAATCCCTCTGAATTTTGGTGCCTCTATTCACGCATCAAAAACTTCACTGAACCTGGAAATCTACTCATGGATTCCCTTGGGAGCATCTAGTCCTATCTGAAACTGTTTTATTTAATCAGAAATCATTGCTGGCTGGATGTGGATCTGATGCCTGATGCCAATATTCAAATTCAGTAGTCAGAGTGTGGCTCAGAAGAGACTCATTGGAACTGGGAATCCCCAACCAGGAAGCCCAGGGTTCACGCTGGACCCATTCTGACATGGTCCTACATCAACTAATGTTAGGAGTGCTGCTCTTTTTACCTTTGGTGATACTCATAGTTGAGATTTTTGAGATACACACACACACACACAAAATTGCATTCTTTAGGCAGAAAACATTGACATGAGGGCTGGGTACGTAATTTGTGGAGCCTAGTGCAAAATAAACACTTAAAGTCTTTTTTACAAAGAACCGGAAAAAAGGCTTTTCCTTTCTATGATGGTTTCTCTCAACCTTTCCTGATGTTTCGAATTTGCTGGTTAATGTCACACTGCCTCAGGCTCTGGGATACTTGAGGGGTGAGTGTAGACCTTCATAGGCATCAGAGTCCTGACTTGCAGCTAAGTGTGTGGGATGTGCTGGCCCAACCTCAATCCTTCCACAGCGGGCACTGGGCAGCAGTGATGGTTGGGCGGGGATAGGGGAGGAGGTAGCCAGGAACCCAGGCCTGGGAAATAAGAGGAGGCAGCGGGCAGGATGGGGCATGAGTCAAGGTTGCTCAGAGCATGCACTACTGTGCTATTGGACTTCACTTACAAAACAAATTCAAAGATAAAAGTATTAAGAATTTCAAGATGGCGACCACACCATTAAAGCCAAGTGCGAGGCCCCCTTCTGAGTGTGGGGCTGTATGTGGTGTCACTGGTAGCACACCCAGGAAGCAGCCCTGGTTGAAACTCATTCTCCTTTGGGCTCCCTGGAATCTTATTGTTATTGAGAAGCCTTATAACTTTCGGATTCCTATTTTTTTCTATGTAATCTGTTCTTTTTCTTCTTGGAAGTGTTTAAGATCTTTTCAACCACATTCTGAAATTTCTCAAATGTGCACCTTGGTGTAAATTTTTCACCTTTTATTGTCTTTGACGCTCAGAGAACCCTTTCAGTCTGGAAATGTATTCTCTTAGTTCTTGGAAATTTTCTTGCCTGAGTTCTTTGACAATTTTCTCTCCTCTCTCTCTCGGTCTCCCTGTTCTGTCTGCCCCCAACTTCTCTTGGTGGTGGTTGGATTGATCCTCTAACTTTTTTTTCTTAGTTTCTTTTTGCTTTTGCTTTTTGCTTCTTTTTTCTGGATTTTTCCCCCAAACATCTCAGCTTTCTATTGCATTTAAAAATACTTCAGCAATCATGCAATTGTATTTTTTATTTTCAAGAGCTCTTTTTTCCCATTGTGTTCGTTGCTTACAACAGCATGTTCTTGTTTGGATGCAATATCTTTTCTTATCTGAGAACACTAATACTATTTTTAATACTTTTTATTAATTCCTACATCTACTCTTTTTTTCTTTTTGATTTCATTCACTCATATTGGAGACTTGGCAGATCTCTGGTGATATGTTTGTATTCAAGAGTAAGACACTATGATTGGGTGCTCTAAAATTGTGAATGGGGCTTTTCTCCACATTTCATCATAGGGTTATCAGGAAGTGAATCATTGGTTCATTGAAGAACTTCCAAATGTCATTATCTATAGTCCTTTTCTTTGGACTATTTAGAAAGAAATCTAAGTCTCCTGCCAGGATGTGTGTCAGGGGGAGGGGAGCGCGGGGTGTGCATACGTGAGGGGAGAGTTCTGGAAAGAGCATAGGGAAGGGGGATGGGGAGTCCACAATAGACTTTTACTTTATCCTTGCTTCATCTATGCTCTTGTCTGGGGATGCTCCCCAAATACAGTTACTACAAGGAATAAACCTTCAACTTTCTTCCAGGAAGCTGGGAAAGAGTTGTGTGGATGCACACAATGAGAGCGGAGACCTGATGGGTTCAGCTGTGCTGTGGCAGACTTTCAACAGATGTCTTTCCACAGTGGGCCTTGCTCTCACCTTCCTCTTGAAATATCCAATGCTTAGAAGCACTGAGCAATTTAGAGCTTCTGCAGAGCGAAGCTGCTCTGTTCTCGCTTGTCTGAAAGCATTTGGTTTTCTCTTTGCTTATTCTGCCAAGGTAATTACCATTCTTCCACCCATTTCTTACCTTCTAAAATTGTGTTGAAAACATTTATGGCAAATGGCCTCTCATTCTCTTTGACTTTGTCTATGAATTTGTTTCTTAAAATTCTTTGTCATTTTAATGAGATTTGGGTAGGAAGAAGAAATAGCCAGAGTCAATTCTATTTTTAACCAGAAGTTTCCTTTAGAAATTTTAATCTTTGTTGGATACTAGACCCATGCACTTTAGTCTGATGCAAATCCTCGTTTTTTACTAAGTGAAATAGTAAATAGTCTAGAAAAATAGTAAATTTCAGTCTATTTCTCATAGCCTGTTTCTACTGATTTCAATACAATTCTAATAATCTTGGTTATTTAGTTTCCAAGCTTTTGGTAGACTAGAAGCAGAATTTTAGTAGAAAGTTAGATGTAGATGCTAGAGTCATATGCCCTGATAGCATTACGAAGAGTTAGTTGGCAGATCAAGAGAGAAAGGTGACAGAATAACCAGTTAAAAGAACACACTAAATAGTATAACAGTTTCTATGCTACGACAGTTTCAAACAGTCCTACACATTTCAAAATGCATTATTGCATTAAAGCGTAATGCAGGTGCCATCCTCCATTACCAAGCCTTCTACGGCTCCCTGCAGTTTGCAGATATTAGTTCCACGCTCTGCTTCTTCTGTCTATTGCCAAGCACATGACCTGTGGTTCTACTGAAACACCCTGCTCTATTTCACACCCACAAATTTCTGCTTCAGACCCGTGAATTCCGTAGCTTGGCACACCCTTTCTTACCATCACAGGTCATCCCTCAAGACCCATTCAAATTCCCATGATGTACTCTCCTTCCTCCCACCCTTACGTGTTCCCATGTACTTGTTTAGATTTACATAATGGAACTTGCTGTGTCCTGCCAGGAATTTTGAAATTATGCATCTGCCCTTCTTCTCCAATTGGGATTATAAACACTGAGTAAATAAGTGTTGAATTCAATTGAAAGTATCCTAATTGATGTTCAACCTGACAATCTTTAGTCTTCAAAGAAAGGTTAAATTGGATACTGTTGAGGAGGAAGGTAAGTGTGTGGTGCATTTTAAAAGATTCAAAAATAAAAATAATAAAAATGAAACAAGAAATACATTTTTATGTCGTGTAAAGGGCATATTACCTTTAACTTACTATAAAAAGTATTTTTTTTGATAGAACAATGAGGCATTATTTTTCACATGAACAACAACCCTATTATGCTACCAAGCTGTTTAAGTTTGAACATCGTAGCTTAGGTATGAAACGTCAACTACATCATTTTAAAAGATGGCAGCATAAAGAGTTTGTGCCAGGTGGAAAAAAACGTGAATATTTTTATTTAAATATGCTTTGGAGAGCAGCTCTGTGTTCCTTGACATAACTGACCTGTTTTCAAAATATCTGGGCTCAAATCCTATCTTGCTCTTGACTGATGTTGCAATACCTAAGGTGCTTTTATCTTTGTTCTGGATTAATCTTTAGTTGGGTGTGACTTCTGACACATTTGCTTTAAATTTCTCTCTCCTCCCGTGTCAAGTAGTTAATGATCTCAAAATGTCACACTTGATTCCACAGATTTCCCAGGGAGTCAAGTGTGGGTAGAATTACAAAACAAATGAAAAATGCAGAATGACTTTATCAGCAATTTCTCCATGTACATGCCAA